TGGTTCTCCATTTTCTGTCTTATGGAAAAGTTTAAGATTGCTGTTATTTATTCCCTAAATGTTTGAAAAATATACCAGTAAAACAGCTTGGCCTTGGAGTTTCTTTGTGGCTGGTTTTTAAATATAAATTCAATTTCTGTAATAGACACAAAAACTCTGAAAATGCCTATTTTTTCTGGTGTCCTTTTTAAAAACAACTATATGGAGATAAAAATCACATACCTTACAAATCACACATTTAAAGTAGTCAGTGGTTTTTAGTATATTCACTACTGTGCAATCATCACCACAGTCAATTTTAGAATATCTTTATCATATCAAAAAAACTCAATACCATCAACTATCACATTCCCCCGATCCCAACATACCCCCACCCCAGCCCTAAACAACCACTAACCTACATTTTGTTTCTATAGATTTGCCTAGTTTGGACATTTCAGATAAGTGAAATTGTATAATCTGTGGTCTTTGTGATTGTGTCTTTCACTTAGCATAATGTGATCAAGATTTCATTATGTGGATATGCCACATTTTGTTTATCCATTCAACAACTGCTGGACATAGGGTTGTTTCTTCTTTATGGTGGTTATGAGCAGTGATGCTATTAACATGCAATAAATAGATGATTGATAGATGGTAGATAGATATGTAGATGGATGGATACACTCAAGTGTTGATGTGAACACTTGTTTTTCATTTCTTTTTTAAGAAAATATTTCATTTATTTATTTTTAGAGGGAGAGAAACATCAATGTGTGGTTGCCCCAACTGGGGACTTGACCTGCAAACCCAGGCATGTGCCCTTGACTGGGAATTGAACTGGCGACCCTTGGTTAACAGGCCAGTGCTCAATCCAATCCACTGAGTTACACTAGCCAGGGCCTGTTTTTCTTTTTTTTGAGGAATAAATCTAGGACTGGAATTGTTGGGTTATATGGTAACATTACATTTATCTTATTCAGGAACTGCGAAACTACCTCCATAACTATTATACATACCATTTCACATTCTCATTGGCAATCTGTTAGGATTCCAAACATTGTCTCCACCATTTGTTATTTAGCCTTTTTTTAAAAAAATTATGACCGTGTTAGGGTGTGAAGCTGTGGCTTATTGTAGTTTCAGTTTTCATTTGCATTTCCCTGACAATATCATTGAACTCCCTGACAATATCATTGAACATCTTTTCATGTGCTTACTGACTATTTGTGTATCTTCTTTGGAGAAAAGTCCATTCGGTTGCTTTGCCCACTTTTTAATTAGGCTTTTGTTGTTGTTGTTGTTCAGTTATAAGAGTTCTTTATATATTCTGGCTACTAGATATTTCTTAGACACAGATACTTCTTGATGGTTAAGTTGAAAATCTAAGTAAAATATGCATTTAATATACTTAACCTATGGAATGTCATAGCAAAGCCTAGCCTACCTTAAACATACCTAGAACTTAAATTAATCAAAATGGGGAAAATCACCTAACACACAACCTATTTTATAACAAAGTGTTGAGTAGCTCATGTAATTTATCATGTATCACTTTCACATCATTATAAAGTAAAAAAATTGTAAGTCAAACCATTGTAAGCCTGGAGTTCTGTATATAATTCATGAATATTTCCTCCCACTCTGTAGGTTGTGTTTTCACTATCTTGATAATGTCCTTTGATGCACAGTCTTAAATTTTGATTAAGTCTAGTATATTTTCTCTTTGGTTTCTTGTGCTTTTGATGCATTGCCAAATTCAAGGTCATGAAGATTAATTCCACATATCTTCCAAGAGTTTCAACTTGGAAGAAATTTACCTTAAACTTATGTTTAGGTCTTTGATTCATTTTAAGATACATTTTTGAACATAGTATGAGGTAGGTAGGAGTTCAACTTCATTTTTTTTTCATGTAGCTGTCCAGTTTTCTCAGCATCATTTGCTGAAAAGACTATTTTTTGATATATTTTATTATTTATTTTTACAGAAAGGGGAAGGGAGGGAGAAAGGAGGAAGAGAAACATCCATGTGAGAGAGAAACATCAATTGGTTGCCTCTATCAAGTATGCACCCCAACCGGGGACCAAACCCACAACCCAGGAATGTGCTCTGACTGGGGATCAAACTGGTGGCTCTTCGCTTTGTGGAATGACACCCAACCAATGGAGCCACAGTGGCCAGGGTGAAAAGACTGTCCTTTTCCTATTAAATGATCTAATGCATGGGTTTATTTCTAGACTCTCAGTTCTATTTTGTGGATCTATATATCTGTCTTTGCACCAATACCACACTGTCTTGATCACTGTTGCTTTATAGTTAAGTTTTGAAATTAGTAAGTGCAAGTCCTCAAACTTTGTTATTTATAAGATTGTTTTGGCTATTCAGAGCCTTGTGTGATTTCATATGAATGTTAGGACTGACATTTCTGCAAAAAAGACCATTGGAATTTTGATACAGGTTTCACTTTGGGGTGTATTACTGTCAAGACAATATTAAATCTTCCAGTTGATGAACATAGATGTCTTTCCATTTATTAATGTCTCATTTAATTCCTTTTAGCAATGTTTTTTAGTGTTGAATGTACATATCTCACATCTTCTTGGTTAAAAATTATGCCTAAGTATTTTATTATTTTCTATTTTATTTTATGTGCAATTGTCTTCTTCAACTTTTATTGTTTGTTGTTAGTGTACAGACATACAATTGGTTTTTGTGTGTTCATCTTGAATCCTCAGAGTGTGCTGAATTTGTTAGCTCTAATAATTTTTGTAGATTCTTTAGTATTTATAGACATTAATTTTCAAGTTGCCCAGCTTTTCTCTTGTTGTAACAGCACTACTACAGTCATGTGCCACATAACAATGCTTTGGTCAATGACAAACTGCATATATGATGCTAGTGTACCATATAGCCGAGGTGTATAATAAGCTGTACCATTTGGGTAGGTGTACTAATCTCTATGATGTTCACACAGTGATGAAATCATCTAATCAAGCATTTCTTAGAACATATCCCCATTGTTAAGTGGTGCATGACTGCACTGCTCTTTTCAGCTCTCTATATCTCTGAGCAAAAATTCAAAACACCAGTATAAGTAATTTTTTTCTAATTTTATGGGACTTACTGTTTTTGTATTTTAGTATACAAAGTACACAAAAAATAATTTGTTACAATTAGTTTATTCTATATATTTCATTTAGTCAAATTGGTTAATTATATCATTTAAATATGTTGTATCAGTGGTCAGCAAACTTTTTATGTAAATGTCAGATAGTAAGCTTTGTTGGAACCACCAAACTCTATATTTTTAGTGCTATAGCAGCTATAAATAATACATGGACAAATGCATGTCACTGTGTTCCAATAAAATGTTATTTATAAAAGAACTGGTAGTGGGCCAGATTTGGCCTCTGGGCTATAGAGTCTGCTGACCCTTGTTCTAAATCCCTTCTGTTGTTTTTTTTTTTTCAGACTGCTTTTGCCATTAGTTACTGAGAGAGTTGTGTTAAAATCACTAATTATAACTGTGGATCTATCTACTTCATTTCTGTTAACTTTTATTTATCAACAGTCAATTCTCATTATTCTCAGTTATGTTCCAAGTCACCATGAACACTGAATAAGCAAGTACTTAAGCCTTGCTCTTAGGGGAAATACTGGGTTAGGTTCCTGCAAGTCTCTGGTCACAACATTTTGGGCAACTAATCAGTAGATAACCTTGTTTTATATGTGTTTTTGTTTAAATCACCTTACTCGATTATTGTAGATTCATGATCTAATAGCCAACAGCACCATAATTAATGCTTGAACAAAGCTCATCTAACACCCTTATTTTCTCCATCAGACATAGCACAACCTTCTTGTACTTGGGAACATTAAAAAGTGAAATCACAAGAAAAAGCATAAAAATGCAAAAAGTGTGCTAAACAGCCTGCAAAAAGATACTTGTTTATGGTATGAGAGCTGAAACATGAAAGCAAACATTATCTTGTTCAACCTCAGCTGGGAAAACGTGTATTGGGCACTCAAATTTTTTACCATTCTGTGAATTCCACAAATGACCACAAAATCATGAGTATTGATTTTGAGGTTATAAGTAAATATTAGTGAGTAAGTGAATTTGCAAATACAGAATCTCTGAAATCTCTGAATAATAAGGGTTGACCATATTTGGAAGCTATATTTTCAAGTACATACCAATTTATGTTTGTCATATCTCCTGTTAAAAGAATGACTTTATCATCATATTGTTATTCATTATGTTTTTAGCATTCTTTCTTTGAAATCTACTACTTCTCATGTTATTATGATATCAATTTTCTTTTGGTCAGTGATTACTTATGTATCTTTTTTCCATCCTTTTTACCTTCAATCTGTATTTATCCCTCTCTATAAATTGTATTTGCTTTGTTGTTTTTATGCTGTCAATTTTTCCTTTAATTGGATTGGTTAGTCCAGAAATTGTCAAGTTCTGTAATGGGTCAGATAATACGTATTTTCCTTTGATAGGTATAAGGTCTCTTATGGAACTACTAGGCTCTGCCATTTCAGCACAAACACAACCGAAGATAATACAAAATGACTGGGTATTTGTAACTGTGCCCCAATAAAACTTAATTTAAAAAGTGACATGCTGGATTTGGCCACAGGTCATGATTTGCTGACCCCTAGCCTAGAGTGTATATGCCTAAGGTTGTATATTGGGGTGTGGGGAAAAGTTTATTCCCCACGTCCCAATATATTTATTTGGAAATTTATTTATACTTAAAAAAATTCAAACAACAAAAGCTTTACTAATGTGCTTATTGGTTGCACATATATATAACTCAAAAGTATATACAAATTAAGTTATAAACACTTTTACTAATTAACTCCAAAGTATAAAATTAGATCCAAAATAGGTATACTTATTTTCATTTATTATACTCTTTATAGTAGACATAAGAATTGTTTTCATATGTATTTTTCTATGTCACCTAATTCTGAACCCTTCAAATTGACCAGAAATGTATTATTGTAGGCATCAGTGTCATTCAAGGATGTGACTGTGGAGTTCACCCAGGAGGAGTGGCAGCAAATGGGTCCTCTTCAAAGGACCCTGTACAGAGATGTGATGCTGGAGAACTACAATAACCTAGTCTCAGTGGGTGAGTGTATGAGCATAGCTTACTTTCAGAATGCTGTGTAGAAAGCATTTCTTCTTTATGCACTAGTACACATGGATACTTTATTTAGATTTTAATGTTATTTAGGCTTTTAATTCAGGAGTATAAAGTAACTAATCCCTGTTGGAGAATGTGTTGTTAACTTCCAATAATAAATTCAAATGAGGACCTTCAGGTTGCTTTTCCTGAAGCTGTATCTTTCTAAATTTTGGGGTACCAACAGTCTTATCATCTAGCCTAAGTACTCCATTGTTCCCTATTTATAGGAAATTGCATTTTTAAACCAGAGGTCATCTTCAAGTTGGAACAAGGAGAAGAACCTTGGTTCTTAGAGGAAGAATTCTCAAACCAGAGTCACCATGGTAAGTTTGAGCACTGGCAGACAGAATTCTATGGGTAGCTAGATTCCAGAAGTTTAGTTTAGCAGTGAACACCTGTGTATTTCAAGAATTTTCTTAAGCTTCTTTCTAAAAATAAATAAAATTTAAAAAAACAGACTTTTAAAAAAAGTCACAAAGGCACAAAAATCATCAATCAAAAGGAGATGATTGACCTGGCTGAGTGGCTTAGTTGGTTGGAGCCTCATCTTGTACACTAAAATGAGTATTTACAGCAATATTGTCTTGGGTGCATACAGGAGGCAACTGATAATTGTTTCTTTCTCTTTCCCTCTTCTTCTCTATCTAAAATCAATAAGCATATCTTCAGGTGAGGATTAAAAAATAAGAAATTATTAATAAACTTCACTAAATTAAAATTCAGAACTTTGTTCATAAAAGATACCAGTAAAAAGGTCAAAAAACAAACCATTGAGTAGCAGAATATGTACAATACAAGGAACCTGAGAAGGACAAGCATCCTGAGAATGTAAGAACTTTTGCAGGTCAATACAGGAAAGGGTAGTAACTCAACTGAAAAATAGACTAAAGATTTTGAATAGGAACTTTGAAAAAAATAGGCATGTATCTTTGAAAATGCATTCAACCTTATTATTTTTCACAGAGTGAAAAATATATATTAGGTGAGCTAAGAGAGGTGGATGATATGTGGTAAAATTAACAAACCTGGTAATGCCAAGTCCTGATGAGGATGTGAAATATTAAAGATCCTCATTCACTGACTGAAAATGTAAACTGGTAAAACCACTGTGTAGTTAGGAGGATGTTATCAAATTAAGTTGAAGTTTTACCTACTTTGTCACCAAACAGTCCCTTCCCTAACTGTATTCCCTATAAAAAGGTTTGTTGTGTTTTCCAGAATGAATAAAAGAGTATTTATGGCAACATGGGGGGGGGGGGTTGCCAAAAATTTGGCTCATCAGCAATAGAATAAAGAAATACTTGTATTTCTAAGGGAGAATTATAAAGCTACATAAAATCTTATACAGTGATTATAAACATAGTATTAAGTAAAATCAAAAAATATAAATATGCATGTATGATTACATATATGTGTCAGAAAAAGGCAAAGCTTAGTTACATTTTTAGGGAGTCATATGTTGGTGCTAAAACTACAAAGACAATACAGGAAATTATTACATAAACATTAGGAGAGTGATGGTCTCATAAGCATGAAGAAACTGTAAGCAGGGAGGGTCAAATAGGGATTTTTGCCAAGTCAATTGTGTTCTAATTTTTGGCAAGATTTAGAATTCCATGACTGTTCCCTGAATACTGTTATATAATACATATAACTTTGATACAAATATAAATTATGTTTATGCTTAATGGAGAGTTAAAAAATGACTCAAAAGTAGATGATATTCGCAAGTCAGATATCCCATAACCAAGAGGCATCTAGAATACATAAAGAATTTGGATCTTTTAAAAAAAATTCTCACTTGAAGGTATGTTTTTATGCTTTTTATAGAGAGTACAGGGTGGAGGAAGAGAGAGGAGACACATGAATGTGAGCAAGAAACACTAATCAGTTTCTTTCTTGTATATACCTGACTGGGGATCGAACCTGCAACCTTTTGGTGTATAGGACAACACTCCAACCAACTGAGGCACCCAGTCAGGGTTTGGACCATTCTAAAGTGGATCCATGATACCACATTAAAAATTGGACCATTCATATAAAATTGAAATGTGGAAATTTAGGGTGCATCCATGATACCACATTAAAAACTGCACCATTCAGATAAAATTGAAATGTGGAGACTTAGGGTGAGGTAAGTGATGAAGTTCACTTATTGTTCAATTTTGAGAGAATATATCAAAGGTACCAGTGAATCTAACTTAGTTGCAAGGATGGATTTTCCTTTTATCAATTTTACACTTACTTTTATTACTATATAGGCTCTCAGCTTTAAGGTGGGTTAAACCCTGAACTGTAAATTTCATTTAATCATGAGTCAGTTAATGCCATCAATTTAATTTGATGTTGAAAGATTGAATGGCAATAAGGGATGATATCAGATTGGTAGTATGTATACTCTTGAATATTCTATTAGTGTAGCCTAGATAATACAGGACTTATACTGACATTATTTCTTCAAATCAAATTCTTCCCCTGTTGGGCCTTGCCCAACAATGCTCATTGTCTTCTAATTTTTCTTATTACTCTACTTACTTTATAGTCCTTGTTATATTCATCCCATGATGTGGTTTTCCTGCTCCTTAAATAATTGCTCCTATAAAAGTCTAATTTCTGTTTTCCTTTTCTTTCCCTTTTACATCCAGGTAGAAAAATCCAGTCTATCACAATCCAAATACAGATATGCATTTATTACCAGTTTCCCCTCTCATTTTTTCACTATAAATATTTTTGAAAGAGGGTGAATATATACACACACACACACACACACACACGTGTATATATGTGTATATATGTGCACACACACATATACATATATGTATATATACATATACATGTGTATATATGTGTATATATACATATATACACACACACACACACACACATATACATATATACACACACATATGCACATACAAATTATTTCATCAAAACCTGAAAAACCAAACCCTGAAATACCAAAACCTGAAAAACCAAAACCTGAAATGCAACATAAGGTATATTTCCATAAGTCCTTTTCATAAAAAAAGTAAGATTCATAAAATGCTTTTAATTTTTCCCATTTTTAGAATATTACAGAGATGATTACCTGATCAAGAGGAAAAAAATCAAACACTTTCAGCAAGTAACATTGATCAATAATAAACCTTTGACTGGAGAGGAGGAGGAAGTTTTGGGAAAACCAGTTAATCTGTACATAGCTCCTGTTTTTTCAACAAAAATGTCCTGTAAATATGACTCAGGGGGATTGAATTTGCATAATATTTCTCAATTTATCATTAATAGAACCCATTCAATAAAAAAAACAGGTTTCTGTGATGTCTGTGAAAATTTGCCTTTCAAAATTAACTTTGAAAGAACTCATACTGGAGAGAAATTTTATGAATATAACAAAAATGGGAAAGCCTTCAGTTACAAGGACAATCTTCCTGAGCATCAAAATTGCCAAACTTTCAAGCAAGCTTTTGAATGCACTAAAACTGAAAAACTTTATGATGATGGTGCCTGTGTTACAGATGAAATTACTCACACAGGAGAAAAATCCTGTAAAGATGATGAATTTAGGAAAAACTGTGATATGATGAGTCTCTTTGACCAAGAAATAACTGCGATGGGAGAGAAACACTCTAATCTTAAGCAGTGTGGGAAATCCTTCTCTGAGAAGTCACCTGTCAAGGAATACAATACATTTAATATCACTGTGAAACACTATGGATGTAATGCCAGTAGGAATAACTTCAACAGGAGGTCTCATCTCACTGAGCCTCAGAGAATTGTTACAGAAGAGAATGCATTGGTATGTAATGACAAAACACAAACTGGGGATAAAACCTTTGAATATCATGAAAATAGGAAATTAGCCCACAGAGTACACCAGAGAACTCACTCTCAGATAAAACCCTATAAATGCGATGAATGTGAGAAATCCTTCTGCCAAAAAGGACATCTCATTCAACATCAGAGAACCCACACAGGAGAGAAACCCTTTGAATGTAATGAATGTGGAAAAACTTTCTCCCAGAAGTCACATCTCAGCACGCATCAGAGAATTCACTCAGCAGAGAAACCCTATAAATGTAAAGAATGTGGGAAAACATTTGTGCAGAAATCAACTCTCAGGGGACATCAGAGAATCCATACAGGAGAGAAGCCCTATGAATGTAGTGAGTGTGGGAAAACTTTCGTTCAAAAGTCAACCCTCAGAGACCATCATAGAATTCACACAGGGGAGAAATCATTTCAGTGTAATGAATGTGGGAAAACTTTTGGCCAGAAATCAAACCTCAGAATACATCAGAGAACTCATGGTGGTGAGAAAACTTATCAATGTAATGAATGTGAAAAATCCTTCTGGCGAAAAGACCATCTCATCCAACATCAGAAAATACACACAGGAGAAAAGCCATTTAAATGTAATGAATGTGAGAAAACTTTTGCCAGGACATCAACTCTCAGAGTTCATCAGAGAGTTCACACTGGGGAGAAACCATTTAAATGTAATGAATGTGGGAAAAAATTTGTCAGGAAGGCAATCCTTAGTGATCATCAGAGAATTCATACAGGGGAGAAACCCTTTATATGTAATAAGTGTGGGAAAACTTTTGGCCAGAAATCAAACCTCAGAGTACATCAGAGAACTCACAGTGGGGAGCAATCTTATGAATGTAATGAACATGGAAAATTGTGTAAGAAGTCAACCCTAAATGTATGGCAGAGAATTCAGAGAGAGAGAAAACCCTATTGATACAATAACTGTGAAAAATCCTGGCTAAAAGACCAACCCATTTGACCTCAGAAAATTCTAACAGGAGAAAAACCATATAAATATAAATGCAGGAAGAATTTTGTCCAAAAGGTAACCTAGAGAGTATTCAGAGAATTCACATAGGCTGCTATTTCTTTCAAGCTAATGTGGAAAGCCCTTTGAATGAAATCATGCCCTATCAGAAAACTCTCACACATCACACAGGCTGGTAATCTTTTCACTAGTAAGAATATCATTTTTCCTCTGGGCACATAGCTAATATAAATTCCCCAGTCTCCCTTTCATCTAAGTGGGACTTTGTGACTGGCTAGTTGAACATGGATGCTCATGTTATATGTCACATATAGTTCTGACAAAGGACTTCCCCAACAAACTATCAGGCTGCTGTAAGGGTGAAATGGAGAGGACTTCCAGGACAACCTTGGGTGCCATGGTTTAACATGGCACACAGCCCAAGACAAGAGCCAAAACAATGTGGATCAAAATTCTCTTCCATATCTTTTCATTTGAACATTTTGTGAGCAAGACTGAAGCTTGTGTTCTGTTGAGCTCTTACATGTTTGGGGTCTGTTTCTGCACATAATTTAGCCATCCCACTACTAGAGAGGCAGAATATTACTGTGTAAGTTAAGCTTACATCAGCCACAGGGTACAAACCTTGTTATAGGGTTGATATGTCAAGGAGTCAGTCCCTCAGAGATCATCAGAGAATTTACACAGAAGACCTCCTTTCAATATAATGAAGTAGGTTGTATCACCTGATACTGGGCTTTGAACCAAAAAGTTGGAAGTTTTTAATTTTTTACTTTATTTTAATTGTTGTTCAAGTACAGTTGGAAGTTTTGTTTTTTTTTTAATTGGATGAACTGATGAGCAGCTATCATGCAACTAAAGTAAATGTGTCTTGTTTAATGTCATGAAGCCACTCTCCCATCATACCTCCTGGCACTTTCATATACCCCAACCTCAGCTGCTTTAAGGAGAAAGAGATTTTCCTATCTCCAAAGGGGACCTAAAGCCTTTGGCATACATCCAAGTGCTCTGGGAACTTTGAGGGAGGGGAAGAACTCAGGTTTTTATGGTCCTATAGGATGCAGATACCAGTTCCCATAGAGGCAAGGGATACCTAGATTTAGATAATGTTGCTAGGTTACAATTTACAGTAGAGAAGGGAAATGAATGAAACATTATCAATAAATGGGGCCATTTGTACCAGTGCAATATACTGTGGTTACTTGTACATCTGGAAGTGCAGTAGAAATTAATATGTTGTACTCCCTGTTCTCATTAATCACAAAATGCTCCCAGTCAGGAAGTAAAGAAGATACCTTTGAGCCCCACAGGCCTTAATGACCATTTGGGCTTCAAGTCTGACTAATTTTGTTGATTCAAACTTCTGACAAAAGGAGGCACCCTTGGGAGTGAGGGGGTAATTTGACTTTATGCCCTGACAATGCTACCAAGGATACCCTTTATGTATGCAGCCATTAGCTTACTCTTGAATTCTTTTACATTGGATACCTGATTTGCAGAGGCCTTGACTTGATTTGGGGGTGTGCCATCTTAGGCTTACTAACAAGATGGAAAGGACTTAACAACCCTACTGTGAAATGACATGGTGTATTCAAGAATACAGCTGTCCTGACCCAGCAGTATCAGCTGTATATGAAATAGTAGCTATTCCTTAGAGAGGAGATTTATCCCCACTTTGCTGCCTGGAGCAAACCTGCTGGCACAGTAAGGCCCTAAATTCATAGAGATTACTCAAAGTAGGCCTTGCTTCACTAATGGTTTGACTAGTTGAAATCACTCTGATCCTATAATTCTTCAACCTCTGCAATTATGCAGACCCAAAACTTAATGTGTTCTCAACTATAGCCAATATTCCCTTTGATAAAATTGGTGTATTTTTATTTAGTCTGGGCTCTTGTGCCTATTTGAGATGCCAGTTATAGCACTACAGAGTGACAAAAGCAACCCTATTTGGAGCTGTGAACTGTGGGGAAAGTTACAGCTGCTAAGCACAACATCTGGGTTGTTTGACTACATGCCCATGTTAAGAGACTGTTCAGTGACAAAACTGGAATGGATCAAGCCTTTACTACCCTACTTGCCAGCATTGCTACCTGGGTCAGCTGTCATACTGACAGCAAAACATCCACCATCATACACTGGATACAAAGTAAATGTCTCTATATATCTAGTGCTTCATTTGATGTAATTTGATATTAGAATCTGTAATTTTTTTCTTCTAGATTAGTAGCCAATGCTCAATATACTGTTTTATCCACCCCTTTCCTACTGATTTTAAATACCGCCATATTCTGAATTGCCATTTGTAAAGATACTGCATATGGCTGCTCATGAGCATTTCCTACATTCTGTTATATTAGTAACAAATCCTCCTTTTGTGGACATGGCTACCTTATATGAGGGGGAACCCAAAGGTTATCTTCTGGAGGGTGGGCCCCTTGTAGTACAGACTTCTGCTGCTAGGTTAGTGTTCTAGGAACCCATCTGTATTGGTGTTCTGAGAAGATCACCAGCTGGTGTTCTGAGAGGCTATGGTTTGCTTTGGTGAATGTTTTTGGAAGAACTTTCAATGCATTAAGGGCACCTGCCCATGCTGCACTGAATGTTCATCAGTTTTGACCAAAGATTTCATGACTGCCATGCCCCACCCACCTTTTCACCTAATTTTGTCCCAAGTGACTTCTTTATGTTTCCCCAGATGAAAATAGTCCTCAAAAGAAAATGTTTTGCTGATGTGGAAGAGGTGAAACAAAAAATGGAAGAAGTACTAAAAGGCATCAAAATAAATGAGTTCAAAAAATGTTTTGAGCAGTGGAAAAAACATCTCAATAGGTGTATTGCATTAAATGGAGAGTACTTTGAAGCTGACTGAAGTATAAAACATGTAAGAATAAATACACAATGTTTTATAAATAAATTCTGGAGTTTTTGGGTCTCCCTTCATAGTTAATAAAATAAGAAACTACTTCGTCTGATGTTGCAGCAATTCTGCTATACACTTACCCTAAATATTTGAAAAAGACATGCAAAACTTGTACATAAATGTCATAGCACTATTCATGATATCCAAAAGAGGTAAATAATCCAAATGTCCATCAACAGATGAACGGATAAATGTGGTCTATTTGTAAAATAAAATAGTATTCAGCTATGAAAAGGAAAGAGGTTCTGATACATATTACAAAACAGATCAACCTCAAAACATGCTGAACTGAAAGAAGCCAAACACTAATGGCAGACTTCACAGCAAAGAATATTTCTAAGTTAGAAAGTGGCATTACATGATAGAAGGTTCTGTCTACCCAAAATGTAACAATCCTATGTGCGTAAAACAAAGGTATCACCATACATGAAATGAAAACCAAGAAAATCAGAAATAGACAAATCTATTGTAGTTGTCAAATTCAACATGCCTCTCAGCAATTGGCAGAACACCAAGTAGGAAATCAGCAAGGATATAAAAGATTTGAATAGTGCCTAACCAAAATGAAGATAATTTGCATTTATAGAACACCCAGCAACATCAGGATACACATTTTAAGAACACATGAAACATTCAATAAGATACACCATATACTATGACATAAAACAAATTGAAAGATTTTATTCTTATTTTTGTTAGTTAAAATATAGGAGAGAATAAACAAACGGGACCTCATCAAAATAAAAAGCCTCTGCATGGCCAAAGAAAACATTAGCAAAATGAGAAGGGAAGCAATCATATGGGAAAACATACTTGCCAATGATACCTTGGACAAGGGTTTGATCTCCAGAATATATAAATAACACACAACTCCACTGCAGGAAGACAAGTAAACTAAAAAGTGGGCAAAGGACCTGAACAGACACTTCTACAAGGAGGACACACAGAGGGCCCAGAGACATATGAAAGGATGCTCAGCCTCACTAGCCATCAGAGACACAAATTAAATCCACAGTGTGATACCACTTCACACCAGTTAGAATGACCATCATAAATAAATCAACAAACAATAAGTGCTGGTGAAATTGCGGAGAAAAGGGAACCCTGGTACATTGTTGGTGAGAATGTATTGCTGCTGGTGCAGCCACTGTGGAAAAGTCTGGAATTTCCCCAGAAAACTAAAATTGGAACTGCCATCTTGACTCAGCAATTCCACTGCTAGGATTATACCCTAAGAATCCTGACACCAGTTCAAAAGAACCTATGCCCCCCAATATTCATAGAAGCACAATTTTCAATAGCCACATGCTGGAAGCAACCTAAGTGCCCATCAGTAAATGAGTAGATAAAAAAAACAACAACGGTACATTTACACAATGGAATACTACACAGCAGAAAGAAAGAAGGAACTCTGGAGCTTCTACCCTTTGTGAGAGGAAAGATGGAACTGGAGAGCATTTTGCTAAGTAAAGTAAGTCAGGAGGTGAAAGACACATACCATATGATGGGACCTAATCAACAACAACGACAACAAAAAAAAGCACAAGAAAGCAAAATATAATCAGAGACATTGAAATAAAGAATGAACTGACAATAACCAGAATGGGGAGGGGGAAGGAGATAACGGCAAAGAAGGGGAAGGGTTGTGAAGGATTATGTATAAAGGACCAATGGATAAAGTGAAAGGGGGGAAGGGTTGAGGGTGGGAAATGGGGGTGCATGCAGCATGGGAAAGTGGAGGATGAAAATGGAGACAACTGTATTTGAACAACAAAAAAAAAAGGTAATAAAAAAAGTATAAAGAAAGTAAATTATAGGTTGATATCCCTGATGAACATAGATGCTAAAATCCTCAACAAATTACTAGCAAACCAATTACGGCAGTGCATCCAAAAGATCATACACCATGCTGAAGTGTAATTTATTCTGGGAATGCAAAGTTGGTACAACATTTGCAGATCAATACATGTGATTCACCAGATAATCAGGTTCCACTTATGGGTGAGATCATATGGTATTTGTCTTTCACATCCTGGCTTATTTCACTTAGCAGAATGCTCTCCAATTCCATCCAGGCTATTGCAAAGGACAGTAG